GGAGCCTGGGGGGACTTGGGGGCAACTCGGGGAAAGGGGGGGCCGCCGGGGGACACCTGGGGGCAACTGGTGAGTCATGAGGACAGCCTGGGGACGTGGGTGATCCCAGGGGTCTCAGGGGGCTCAGGGTGATCCCAGGGGTCTCAGGGTGGTCCCGGGGGTCTCTAAGCCCCGTGTCCCCCCCAGGCTGCCCCAGGCCGTGCTGCTGGTGCTGACCACGCCGGGGCTCTCGCTGTTCCTGGGGGGCTCTGGGGCTCTCAGGGTGGTCCCAGGGGTCTCAGGGTGATCCCAGGGCTCTCAGGGTGATCCCAGGGGTCTCAGTGTGGTCTCAGGGTGGTCCCAGGGGTCTCAGGGTGATCCCAGGGGTCTCAGGGTGGTCCCGGGGGTCTCAGGGTGGTCCCGGGGGTCTCTAAGCCCCGTGTCCCCCCCAGGCTGCCCCAGGCCGTGCTGCTGGTGCTGACCACGCCGGGGCTCTCGCTGTTCCTGGGGGGCTCTGGGGCTCTCAGGGTGGTCTCAGGGTGGTCTGTGGGTGGTTCCCGGGGGTCCCGGGGGTCTCTAAGCCCCCTCCCCATTGCAGGCTGCCCCTGGCCGTGCTGCTGGTGCTGACCACGCCGGGGCTCTTGCTGTTCCTGGGTGGTCTCAGGGCGGTCTCAGGGTGATCCCAGGGGTCTCAGGGTGGTCCCGGGGGTCTCAGGGTGGTCCCGGGGGTCTCTAAGCCCCGTGTCCCCCCCAGGCTGCCCCAGGCCGTGCTGCTGGTGCTGACCACGCCGGGGCTCTCGCTGTTCCTGGGGGTCTCTGGGTGGTCTCAGGGTGGTCCCAGGGGGTCTCAGGGTGGTCCCGGGGGTCTCAGGGTGATCCCAGGGGTCTCAGGGGGGTCCCGGGGGGCTCTAAGCCCCCTCCCCATTGCAGGCTGCCCCTGGCCGTGCTGCTGGGGCTGACCACGCCGGGGCTCTCGCTGTTCCTGGGTGTTCTCAGGGTGGTCTCAGGGTGATCCCAGGGGTCTCAGGGTGGTCCCGGGGGTCTCAGGGTGGTCCCGGGGGTCTCTAACCCCCCTCTGCCCCCCAGGCTGCCCCTGGCCGTGCTGCTGGTGCTGACCACGCCGGGGCTCTCGCTCTTCCTGGCCGTGCTGCTGGAGCGGGAGCTGCTGGAGGCGCCGGCGGGGCTGGGCGAGGCCTGGCAGCGCTTCCTGGGGGCGCTGGGCCAGGGGCTGCTGCAGGAGCACCTGCACGGAGCCCACCTGAGCCCCCTGCTGTGCCTGGGCGCCTACCCCTGCTGGCTGCTGCTCTGGAACGTGCTCTTCTGGAAGTGACGGACACGGGATGGACACACGGACACGGGATGGACACACGGACATGGGGACGGACACACGGACAGACCAATGGACACATGGACAGAGCCACAGCCCCCTCACCTGAGCCCCCTCACCTGAGCCCCCTGCTGTGCCTGGGCGCCTACCCCTGCTGGCTGCTGCTCTGGAACGTGCTCTTCTGGAAGTGACGGACACACGGACACGGGACGGACACACGGACACGGGATGGACACAGGGACAGAGCCCAAACCCCCAGACAGGCACACGGACAGAGCCCAAACTGCCCAGACACACGGACAGAGCCCTGGATGGACACACAGACCCCCAGACGGACACACGGACACACAGCCAGACCCACAGCCAGAGCCCCAGAGAGACACACGGACAGAGCCCCGGACGGACACACGGACACACAGAGCCGTGGATGGACACACGGACAGACCCACAGCCAGAGCCCTAGACAGACACACGGACAGAGCATCGGATGGACACACGGACAGGCAGACCCCCAGATGGACACACAGACAGACACACGGACAGACACACAGACAGACACACGGACAGACACACGGACAGAGCCCCAGACGGACACACGGACAGACACACGTACAGGCAGACCCCCAGTCGGACACACGGACAGACACGCGGACAGACACGTGGACAGACAGAGCCCCAGACGGACACACAGACACGGACAGAGCCCCGGATGGACACACGGACAGACACACGGACAGACACACGGACAGACAGAGCCCGAAACAGACACGCGGACAGACAGAGCCCCAGACAGACACACGGACAGACACGCAGACCCCCAGACAGACAGACACATGGACAGACAGAGCCCCAGACGGACACACGGACAGACACACGGACAGACACACGGACAGACACACGGACACGAACAGAGCCCCAGACGGACACAGGGACAGACAGAGCCCCAGACGGACACACGGACAGACACACGGACAGACACACAGACCCCCAGACAGACAGACACACGGGCAGACAGAGCCCCAGAGGGACACACGGACAGACACACGGACAGACACATGGACAGGCAGAGCCCGAAACAGACACGTGGACAGACACACGGACAGACACGCGGACCCCCAGACACACGGACAGACAGAGCCCCAGTCGGACACACAGACAGACACACGGACAGACACACAGACCCCCAGACAGACAGACACACGGACAGACACACGGACAGACACACGGACAGACAGAGCCCCGGATGGACACACGGACACACCCCCAGACGGACACACGGACAGACACACGGACACACCCCCAGACAGACACACGGACAGCCCTGCAGCCCCCAGACCCCCCCAGCCCCGGGGTCCCCTCTGGGCGCCCCAGGAGCCCCCGGGTGGGGCCGGCAGGGGCGGGGCCTGAGGGGCGTGGTTCTGTCGGGGCGTGGTTTGTTAAGGGGCGTGGCTCTTGTGAGGGGCGTGGCTTGCTAACAGTACATGTTATTCGGGGAGGCGTGGTTTGATAATGGGCGTGGTTTGTGGGCGTGGCTTGCTAACAGTACGTGTTATTCGGGGAGGCGTGGTTTGTTAATGGGTGTGGCTCTTGTGAGGGGCGTGGCTTGCTAACTAAGTGTTCGGGGAGGCGTGGTTTGTTAAGGGGCGTGGCTTGCTAACAGTACGTGATATTCGGGGAGGCGTGGTTAACGGACCTGGTTTCGGGGGCGTGGCTCGTTAGGGGCGTGGCTTTCGCTCGGGGGGCGTGGCCTGTCTCTGTGCTCTTCCCCTCCCTCCGCCAGGCGGCGCCGCAATAAAAAAAAAAAAAAAAAAAAAAAACCCAGAGCCGCTCCCGGCCCCCCCGCCGGCGCGCC